ATTGTGTACAGACCACCAAACAGTGGTTGTGAGATTGGGGATGGCGTCAAACAGAAAATTAGAGATGCGTGCAGTAAGGGTACAGCAGTTACTATGGGTGATTTCAATCTGCATATTGATTGGACTAACCAAACCAGTAGCAATGCAATGGAGGAAGATTTCCTAGAATGTATGAGGGATGGTTTCCTCAACAAATATGTCGAGGAACCAACTAGAGAGCAGGCCATCTTAGACTGGGTATCATGCAATGAGAGAGGATTAATTAGCAACCTTGTGGTGCGAGATGCTTTGGGGAACAGTGGCCATAATATGGTAGAATTCTTCATTAAGAAGGAGAATGACACAGTTAAATCTGAGACTAGACTCCTGAACTTAAAGAAAGCCAGTTTTGACGGTGTGAGACATGTATTGGCTAAGATAAGCTGGCCAAGGATACTTAAAGGGCTGACGGCGGATAAGCAATGACATAGGTGAATTCAACAGTTGTACATTCCCTGTCTGGCGTTAAAACAGGGAAGATGACTCAACCATGGCTAACAAGGGAAATCTGGGATAGTGTTAAAACCAAAGAGGAGGGATATAAATTGGCCAGAAAAAGCAGCAAACCTAAAGACTGGGAGAAATTTAAAATTCAGCAGAGGAGGAGAATAAAGGCTTTAATTTGGAAAGGGAAAATAGAATACAAGAGTAAGCTTGTGAAACACATAAAAACTGACCGTAAGAGCTTCTACAGATATGTGAAGAGAAAAAGACTGAAGGACAAATGTAGGTTAGAATTCTACAGTTAGAATCAGGTGAATTCATAATGGACAACAAAGACAGGGCAGACCATTTGAACAAATATTTTGGATCTGTCTTCACTAAAGAGGACTCCAATAACCTTGCAGAAATGCTAGGGGACAGAGGGTCAAGCATGAAGGAGGAACTGAAGAAATTCTTTTTGGTCAGGAAATGTCTTTTTCTTTAAACTCAATTTGCGGGATGTGGGCATCACTGGCTGGCCAGCATTTATTGCCCATCCCTAGTTGCCCTTGAGAAGGTGGTGGTGAGCTGCCTTCTTGAACCGCTGTAGTCCATTTGCTGTGGGTTGATCCACAATGTCATTAAGGAGGTAATTCCAGGATTTTGACCCAATGACAGTGAAGGAATAGTGATATATTTCCAAGTCAGTATGGTGAGTGGCTTGGATGGAAGCTTTAAGGTGGTGGTGTTCCCATGTATCTGCTGCCCTTGTCCTTCTAGATGGAAGTGGTTGTGGGTTTAGAAGATGCTGTCTGAAGATCTTTGGTGAATACCTGCTGTGCATTTTGTAGATAGTACATACTGGTGCTTCTGAGCATTGGTGATGGAGGGAGTGGATGCTTGTGGATATGGTGCCAATCATGCAGGCTGTTTTGTCCTGGATAGTGTCAAGGTTTTTGATTGGGGAAAGTGATGGGATTAAAACCCGTTAAGTCACCAGAGCCTGATGTTCGGCATCTCACAGTACTTAAGGAAGTGGCTCCAGAAATAGAGGATGCATTAATGATCATTTCCAGCATTCTATAGACTCTGGAAGAATTACAATGGACTGGAAGGTAGCTAAAGTAATGCCACTTTTTAAAAGAGGGAGAGGGAAAACGGAATGATAGGCCAGTTAGCCTGACATCAGTGGTGGGTAAAATGCTGGAGTCAATTATTAAGGATGTAATAACTGAGCATTTGGAAAGCGGTGACAGGATCGGTCCAAGTCAGCACAGATTCGTTAAAGGGAAATCTGCTGTTCACAACATACATTAATGATTTGGAAGAAGGAATTGAGTGCAATAATTCCAAATTTGCAGATGACACTAAGCTCACTAAGTGTGGGCTATGAGGAGGCTTAGAGACTGCAGGCTTACTTGGATAGGCTGCCTAACTGGACAAATACTTGGCAAATGCAAAATAATGTGGATAAATGTTGGGCTATCCACTTTGGTGGCAAAAATAGGAAGGCAGATTATTATCTGCATGGTGGCAGTTTAGGAAAAGGTGAGGTGCAACAAGACCTGGGTGTCATGGTGGAACGGGCGCTTGAAGGTTGCCATGCAGGTGCAGCAGGCGGTGAGGAAAGCTAATGGTATGCTGGTCCTAATAATGAGAGGATTTGAGTTTAGAAGTAGGGATGTCTTGCTGCAGTTGTACAGGGCCTTGGTGAGGCCACACCTTGAGTAATGTGTGAAGTTTCGGTCTCCTAGTCTGAGGAAGGATATTCTTGCTACTGAGGGAGTCCATTGAAGGTTCACCAAACTGATTCCGGGGCTGGCAGGACTGACATATAAAGTAAGACTGGATCAACTGGGCTTGTATTCGTTGGAATTTAGAAGAATGAGGGAGTATCTCATTGAAACATAAAATCCTGATGGGGCTGCACAGGCTAGATGCGGGAAGAATGTTCTCGATTTTGGGCAAGTCCAGAACAAGAAGTCACAGTCTAAGAATAAGGGGTGAGCCACTCAGGACTGAGATGAGGGATGAGATGAGGGAGAATTTCTTCACTTAGACAGTTTTGAACCTGTGGAATTCTCTACCACAGAAAGCTGCTGGGGCCAGTTCATTGGATATATTCAAGAGGGAGCTGGACACGCTATAGCGATCAAAGAAGAGAAAGCACGAGTGAGATACTGAAATTGCATGATCAGCCATGATCATACTGGATGATGGCACAGGCTCGAAGGCCAAATGGCCTACTCCTGCACGTGCACGTTTTTTATGTTTTTATGAGACTGCTGAGGAGATCACCTGAACATTGGCTGGGATGAAACATTTCAGTTACAGACAGAGGCTGGATAAGCTCGGCTTGTTTTCTTTGGAGCAGAGAAGGTTGGGGGGAGGGGGGCGTACATAAGAGCTGTGTTGGAGTTATTAGGGTCATGGGCAGGGTAGATAGAAAGCAGCTGTTCCCCTTGGAAGGGTCAATAACAAAGGGAAATAGTTTTAAAGTGAAAGGCAGGAGGTTTAGAGGGGAATTAAGGAACATATCTCCACTCTCTGGGTGAAAAGTATCTGGAATGCACTGCCTGGGAGGGTAGTTGAGGCAGGTAACCTCACAATCTATGAAGTGTCATAACATTGAAGGCTGTGGATCTAGTGTGGGAAAGTGGGACTAGTGTAGGTAATAGTCTATTTTTGGTAACACAGACCCAATGGGCTGAAAGGCCTCTTCAATGCTGTATGATCTTATGACTGGCCTTTGTTTCATACAGTTTAGAAGACAGCGAGGTGATCTTATTCAATCATATCAAATTCTTACATTGCTCAACGGGACGTGCTCCTTGGCTGGGGGAAAAGCAGTCGAGGGCCCGCTAGTTTGAAACTGTTTGAAACTGTTTAGGGCGGAGACGAAGAGGATATTCTGTTGTATTTTCGGCAATCAATACTTGAAAGGGTCTTGAATTTTTAAAATTTCCTGTAGTAAAACGGAGCTTTTTTTCAAACATAAATGAAAATTAACAATTGAATGATTGAATGCAAATGCGAGGTGATGCATTTTGGAAGATCCAATTCAAGAGCGAGCTATACGGTAAATGGAAAAGCCCTGGGGAAAACTGATGCACAGAGAGATCTGGGTGTTCAGGTCCACTGTACCCTGAAGGTGGCAACGCAGGTCGATAGAGTGGTCAAGAAGGCATACGGCATGCTTTCATTCATCGGACGGGGTACTGAGTACAAGAGTTGGCAGGTCATGTTGCAGTTGTATAGGACTTTGGTTCGACCACATTTGGAATACTGCGTATAGTTCTGGTCGCCACATTACCAAAAGGATGTGGATGCTTTGGAGAGGGTGCAGAGGAGGTTCACCAGGATGTTGCCTGCTATGGAGGGCGCTAGCTATGAAGAGAGCTACGAGTAGATTAGGATTATTTACATTAGAAAGACGGAGGTTGAGGGGGGACCTGATTGAAGTCTACAAAATCATGAGAGGTATAGACAGGGTGGATAACAAGAAGCTTTTTCCCCCCCGAGTGGGGGACTCAATTACTAGGGGTCACGATTTCAAGGTGAGAGGGGAAAAGTTTAAGGAAGATATGCATGGAAAGTTCTTTATGCAGAGGGTGGTGGCAGCCTGGAACGCGTTGCCAGCGGAGGTGGTAGAGGGGGGCACGATAGCGTCATTTAAGATGTATCTAGACAGATACACGAATGGGCAGGGAGCAGAGGGATACAGATCCTTGGAAAATAGGCAACAGGTTTAGATAGAGAATCTGGATCGGCGCAGGCTTGGAGGGCCGAAGGGCCTGTTCCTGTCCTGTAATTTTCTTTGTTCTTTGTTTGTTCTTTTATTTGTAAACACATCCTATTGCCACTGTAGTGCTAATTCATCCTATACAGTGTATAGCGGGTCAAGTGACATTGAAATGCCACTGCTAGGTATGAGAAAGAGATTCTAAACTTACTTCTCATAAAATTTTCTCATGTAGCCTATGATTCATGATATCTCTGAAGTGCTGTTTTGAGCTATGAATTGTTTAACAACTGGCCTAACTCCATACACATTGTAGAGGCCCAGGGCATGTCTATCCCCATAATGAAGCCACCAAAGTTGGGAATACCAGGTGAAAGTGCCAAGTGACTTGGTGAAAATCCAGGCCCAAGTATCTGATTTCGGAGTTGAAGTGCAAGTACTATCACTTGTCATAAAAATCCATCAGGTGCATTAATGTCCATTAGGGAAGGAAATCTGCTTCATTAGGTGAAATAAATTAGATTTTACAGCTGGTTTACTTGTGACTCCAGACCCAGGTTGACCCTTACCTGCCCTCTGGCAATCAGGGATAGGTAATAAATGCTCGCAAAACCAGTGAGGGTCACATCCCATGAATGAATAGAAAAAAAAATCATGTCAGCATTTTAAAGGAACAGACTGCTATCAGGCTTCTAATAGTATCTACTTGAATCACTCACAGAAATTGTACTCCTGTCTGAAATAACACGTACAGTATACTCAAGGAATTGTTTTAATACTTAGTGGCACTTCTTACCTGTAATTCCCATGTGGTAACCGTGAAATGCATCCATCAGACCATCACAAAGCATGCTATCTTGAAGCGATACATCACCCATTTTGACTCCAGTTCTCAAAAGTGCCACATGCGGAGTCTGGAATAAATAATATATGCAGCTTTTAATTGATCTCCTTATAGTGGGTCACCACTTGGTATATTAGCTAAAAGTAACCATGTGATCCATCAAGCTTCAGTATATTTGAGGAAATCCCAACACTAACTTCAATATCAACGTAAAAAAATTTTTAAAATGTGTACATTATTTTGCAAAATTGATTAAATATTATTGAGAGGAATTTCAAACATGAGCAGACAGGATGTTGACAGACGTTCACCCATGAGGTCACCTATGCTATATTGATCTGTCAACATATTTGTTGTCAAAATGGCCATTGGGCCACATACCAAAGGCCTGTGGGTGCATTTCAATATTCCATCAATAGAATCACAGAATGGTTATAGCGTATAGAAGGAAGCCATTTGGTCTGTCATGTCTGTACGAGGTCTATGCAAGAACGATTCATGTAGTCCCACTCCCTTGCCCTGTAATTTTTCTCTCACCTTATAATTTTTATAATCTTCAGATAACTGTCAAATTTTCTTTTGAAAGTTCACAGCTGGGACCTGAACATCCAAAGATGTTTGACTTTCAAAAGGACAGATAGAAAGATAGAATAAAGGACTAGCTGAACACAGGTAAGAAATGATCTTGGATCGAGGATCAGATATAAAATCAGTTTTAGTGCAGCTGAGATGTAGCAAAGACACTGATGAGTATGTTTAGTGAACACATTGACAATGGCAACACTATAGGTCATAGTGTAAATCAAGAAATAGTGGAGGTTCACAAGAAAGGTATTACAATGATTGTGAAAGATTTTTTAAACTTCACAGCATTTAAGCACAAGTGGCATGAAGGTTTTGTTTATTAATTGACAAATGGATGTTTGGTCATGGGACTACAGTCCTCTTGTACATGTACACAATAAATGACACCATGCATTTCCAGAGACCACGTAGTTATAATTCAGGCTGTAATGTAAAATTGATACACTGAACACTGATTTTGGTGTCCACAAGACCACAAGAAATTAGAACAGGAGTAGGCCACACAGCTCCTCATGCTTGCTCAAGGACATGAATGAATGAGTATAGAAATTATTCCTGAGAATGATCCCAGAGATGAAGGACTTAGTTATGTTGATAGACTGGAGAATTTTGGACCAGTTTTCTTCAAAATGTGAGTTTTGATAAAGGGTATTAAAAATCATGAGGGGTCAGGATAAAGAAGACAGGGGGATTTATGGAAGGACTGAAAACAAGAGGAGACAGTTTGAGGGCAATTGGCAAAAGAAGCAATGATGATATGCAGAAATATCTTTTCATGCAGTGACTGGTTAGAATCTCGAATGATTGCCTGACAGTGTGATGAGATAGTCCAGACATTCAATAGAGGAATGCATTGTAAAAGGAAAGTAAGTAGTCAGGATAATGCGGAGAAAGTAGGGGAGTGGTAGTAGGTAAATTACTCCTACGGAGCCTGCGTAGGCAAGAATTGTCTCCTGTATGTGCAGGGGTTGAGGTTGAGGAACGACTAACTAACAGGAAACAAACTCAGTACGAAAGGATCATTGCCTGTTAGAAAACTGTAGCTAGTGGAGTGCCACAGCACAGCAATCTATTTCAATGACTTTGGATGATGTAACTGATTGTATCGCAGCCAAATTTGCAGATGATACAAGGATAGATCGGAAAGCAAATTGTGAAAATGACACACAGAGCAAAGTGGCACAAAGCAAAATACTGTACATGTTGGAAATCTGAAATAAGAACGAAAAGCGCTAGAGAAACTCAGGTCAGGCCGCATCTGTGAAATGAATGGTCAATGACCTTTCATCAAAACTGAAAAGAAATAGAAAAGTGAGAGGTTTAAGCCAACGGTAGGGAGAAGGTGCAAGAACAACTAATAAGTTCTGTGAGAAGACAAAAGTTAGGGACAATTAAATAACAAAAGAATTCTTGCTGCAATACACAAAGTGTTAATGAATGTGGTATAGAAGCAATGATTGCATCAACAAAAAGCAATACAGCACAGGAACAGGCCCTTCAGCCCACTAACACTGGGCTGGACATGATGCTGTTTAAACTAAAAACCTTTTACCGTCCCTCTATTCCCTGCCTATTCTTACATCTGTCAGGATGTCTCATAGGTTTCTATTGTATCCGTTCCACCACCTCCTCTGGCAGTACATTCCAGATACTTACCATGCTCCATAAAGAAAGCCCTGCCTCTCACATTTCCTTTAAACTTATCCCTTTTTACCTTAAACCTATGTGCCCTAGTAATTCACATTTCTATCATGGAAAAAAAAGACTCCAATTATCCATTCTGTCTATGCCTTTCATAACTTTGTAACTTTTATCAGGCCGCCCCTCATCCTTTGACGTTCAAGTGAAGACAAACCAAGTTTGTCAAATCTGTTCTCATAGCTAATATTCTCCAAGTCAAGCAACATCCTGGCAAACGATACCTGCACCCTTTCCAAAGCCTCCACATTCTTCTGGTAGTGTGACGACAGGAAATGTACACAATATGCCAAATGTGGCTGAATTAAAGTTCTATACAGCTGCAACACGAGACGTATGGGCTACATAAAAACCACCTGATTGAATTGTGAAGGAATAAAAACAATGACAAGACCATCCCAACAAACAAAGATGAAGAAAAGTATTACATAAATGAGGGCAGAGTTATGATAGGTCAATGAATCAGAGAGTGGCTGAGGGTCATCACAGCGGAATTCTGGGAGACATCACCACGAGTCATCATGACTATACAGGAGACCTCTGCAGGACACCCTCCATGAAATGGCGAAAAAGGGCAGTGAATCAGAGGGTAGCTGAGAGTCACAACAGAATTCTGGGAGACATTGCCACAGTCATCATTACTGTACAGCAGGTCAGAGAGAACCTGGTGTCAAGGTGCGGTTAAAACTGAAATTGGTATTTCCTACCCTCCCTCCTCTGACCAAAAAAAAAGGCTGTGTTAGGAAGATGGTAAAGGCGTACAAGGGAGCAGCCATTAAGAGAGTAGGCTAGTGTTGGATTAGAAGTGCTGAGACATTTGCTTAAGAGGTTTTCACGTGAGGAGGCTGAGCAGGGGTACAGGTAAGGGCTCTTTAACTGTCTTTCTGTCAGAAGGCAATAGGGATGGCAGTTAGGACAGTGGCACACTCCTCTTGCATAATGTGACAGATCAGGGAGACTTCCAGTCTCTCTGGTAGCTGCACCTGTGAAAAGTGACAGACCGTGTCAGGGAACTGGAGCTGGATGCACTCAGGATCATCCAGGGTGCAGAGAACATCATTAATAAGAGTTATACTGAAGTGGTCACTCCTAAGGTGCAGGCTGCAGGTAGCTGGGTGACCACCAGCAGAGATAAGGGGGCAAGGCAGATAGTGCAGAATTCCCCTGTGGCCATTCCTCTCAATAACAGGTATACTGCTTTGGATACTGTTGGGGGAATGACCTTACAGTGGCTAGCAGCAGTGGTCAGGTCAGTGGCACTGTGACTGGCTCTGAGGCTCAGACGGAAAGGGTGCAGTCAGACAGAGCGATACTGATAGGAGACTCAATTGTGGGGGAGACAGACAGGAGATTCTGTGGCCGCAGAAGAGAAACCAGGATGGTATGTTGCCTTCCAGGTGCCAGGGTCAAGGATGTCTCTGAGCTGTTGCAGAACATCCTGAAGGTGAACAGCCAGAGGTCACTGTGCACATTGGTATAAATGATATAGGTAGACAAGCGGATAGAGTCATGCAAAATGAATCTAGGGAGTTAGGTAATAAGTAATAAGTTAAAATGCAGGACTTCAAGGGTAGTGATCTCCGGCTTACTCCCAGTGCCACACGCCAGTGAGGATGGAAATAGATAGGCCAGATGAATGCGTGGCTGGGGAACGGGTGTAGGGGGCAGGGTTTTCAGTCCTTGGATCATTGAAATCTCTTCAGGGGTAGAGGTGACCTGTGCAAGAGGGATAGGCTGTACTTGAACCGGAGGGAGTCCAATATCCTCACAGGGAGAATTGTTGGTGTTACCTGGAGGTGGGGGGTTTAAACTAGTTTGGTGGGGGGTGGGGGGTGGGGTGTGTGGGACTCTGAATAAGAAAGGGGTCTTCGAGAAGTCAGGGGACAATTCATTAGCCATCAAGAGCAAGTTTACTATTCAGGATAGCTGGGGCACAGAAAAGGGAGGGAAAAGACTTCTGGTTTAAAGCGGAGATAGTAGGAACTGCAGATGCTGAAGAATCTGAGACAACAAGGTGCAGGGCTGGATGAACACAGCAGGCCAAGCAGCATCATAGGAGCAGAG